AAAGGATTATCCGTGGATTTACTTCTCATTCAATGCTAGATCATTTTCATAAGGGTATCAATTTAAACTTTATCAATGGAAGTATAATTGGAGGCACTACTTCAGCATAAGCATTGCTTCTTTCAGTTAGTGTTGATTTTAGTTTCTCTTAATCTCGAGCTATAAGAACTGATGCAGGCAAAGTTGCAGCATATGCATTTAAAAAGCTGTAACCTGATAGGAGATTATAGATTTTTCAGCCATATAGTAATAGCAATTAAATGAAAGCTACCTTCCATGAGCATGATTCATGATGCCAATTCTGATTCAGTTATAAATAGCAATTCATACCGGGATAAGCTCTAACAATTGGCACACGCACACGCGCACACACGCACACACGTGCACTCGCGTAAGTGTGCAAGCCTGCAAGAATAGCAATTCATACCGGGATAAGCTCTAACAATTGACACACGCACACACGTGCACGCGTGTAAGTGTGCACGCCTGCAAGCGCGCACACACACACACACATTTTAATACATATTCAAGCTGTTTAATCTAAATACATTAATACAATAAAGACATGGAGACACACACACACACTGTAATACATACTCAAGCTAGTTTATCTAAATAAATTAATACAACAAAGACATGGAGCATTATAGTGTCCTCGCCATAACTAGTGATAACCTAATATAAGCATAACACATTCTGGTAGTAACTTAAGAACATTTCTTACATGGGCAACAATGACATATAAATGAAGAGTGTTGTAGCTGCAAAGAACTTGCACTAACAACTAGGAGAATTTGTTACCAATATATTAGATTACATTGTTATTGACAGAATTCATTAATAATAATAGAAAATTTACATACAACCAAAGTTCAATTTTCACACTTATAATACATGGGTATCAGAAACCTATGCATGAAGAGGTGTATCAGTTTTAAAAAGATAGTGTGGCGTTATGGCGGTATTTTTGTTATGATGTGAACTATTTGAGATATATGCATGAAGGTATAGGTATTAGATATGTAAAAGTATAAGGATTGTGTGGTATGCCTGTAAATGCTTAAAAAATATGATACACTACACCGTGATGATTCTGAAGATAATGTATGCAATTTCTCCATGAAACAAGTTTTGAAGCCATACACTGTCTGCAGATTTAAAGAATCATTGGCTACTTGTTTCCTTCTTCAAAACAAGATCAAGAGATGTTAAACCCGACAAAAAAAGTAAGAAAGAAATCTGTAATTAGATGAAGAAAAGAGTCAATAGATGTAAAGAAATCTTACCTGCATGAACAGTCTAATAACCATGGCTGGGGATGAAGCCTTCATATATAATGTTTATAATGTTGTTGATGATGATTAAAAATTGTTCTGACATTCATGTAAAATTCATGAAAGAGTTGATGGGATAATCTACAGATTAATACCTTTCATAGCTATAAAGGTAAAAATTCTCATATGAATTAATAATAAATGATTATTAAAAGGATAAATCAACACGAAATAATAACAAGGAAAACTACAGATACACATATTGTTTCAAATAATAATACAAAATTATTGCATCAATACAATTTCTAAGGTTTACGGGAACATTAAGCACATAAAAATATAAGTTCTACAATCTTTATCCTTCAATTTAAACATGTCAAAATCTTCGTTCAGATTCCTGGAACATATGTTCAAATAACATTAATATAATACATTTTAAAAAATAATATTAAAATGAATAAATCAAATTTCTTACACGTGCTTCCCACATATGGGTAGTAATTATTTGTCGCGTCATATCACCTTCAACTCTCTCCCTCATAGTTGCATGTATATTAGGATATTTATCTATACCGACCACCTCGCCAAATTCTCTATTATTATGCTTTTCAGTTTGTGACATGCAAAAGAATATGTCTTGTTCATGATGTCTACCAATAATGTAAGATGACACAAACAATGACTATATCACTCTGCACACTCAATGAAAATTGTTGCATATTAGTTAAAATTTGAATACCAATAATTGGGCATAACAACGGCTATATAATTTTTTTTCTCGTGAGTTATTGTGAGCTTTTGCCCCATGGTACTTACTAAGATGATACCTATAATAACGATATGGTGCTAATAATTTGGAGGTATTTGCTTATCATGACTCAACAAGATAATACCGGCCTTGTGGCACATGAAAAACTGCTTGTTCCACCGATTAACAAAACACTCTCATATCAGTAGTCGATCCCTCCAAACTAGAAGGAACATATAAAACTTGACAATTGAATGAAACAACTGTTATCACATTTTGTGAAATAAACCCTTTCCTATTCCGGTATCTATTTTGTAAGTTCCAATTAACAACTGTTGGTATGTGTGTGTCACAATTGCTCCAATTTTATTTATAAAAAATGATAAAATTATTGGTTAGATCAGATGTATGAGTGACTTTTAGATTCCTCTACTAACAAATGAATGCATTCCTCAATCAAGAAAATAATAACTTGTAAGATAATAATAAAGTATTATTCAATGGTTTCCAATGAATGTTGGAAGAACTCACAAAATTTTTTATATGAATGTGCATGTGCAACTCCTCTCAGAAATATACCAAGTAGTTATGCTATAGTTATATTTCTTGTATTAGTTAATAAATTACATCTTAACAAAATGTCATGTTACAAGGTAAAGGTTTACGGTGGTAGTCTGAAATAATTATAGGAGTGTATAGGATGTCCAATAAGATCATCCATGACATATTGATGCCTATCAAACATTGGTCTCCGAATAAATTCATCATCATTAGATGAGGTACTACCTATAACTACTGGTAGTATCTATTTAATAGTATTACACTCATTAATTTAATTTTTTTATATAATTATACATGGTGTTGTATAATCTACCTGCAAATAATTAGGTATTCTTGCAAAATTTATACAACTTCTCATGACAAAATTGTACACTATATTATTACACTGAATGAAAAAACTAACATGAATTGTTACAAATAATATTGCATTAATAGTAGAATAACATAAATTATAAACTAAATAAGCATAAAATGTTGAAGCAATATTATGATGTGATATGAAATACAAATAGTGTTAAAATAAAAGTACAACAACATTAATAATAAAGTACAACTATATCAACACAACAATTAAGATGCTAAAAAAACACACCCACTATGTCAATTTTTAAAGCCAAACAAAATATGAATAATAGAGCAGATATTTTGAAAGAATGTGCTCAAGCCAACAATGAAGCTTAGGGCCATCCCATGTTAAGAGTGCATATTTGTTATTTTCGTG